GGAGGCCGAGGCAGATCACCTGAGGTCAGGAGTTCGAGATTAGCCTGGCCAACATGGTGAAACCCCATCTCTATTAAAAATACAAAATTAGCCGGGCATGGTGTGGCAGGCACTCATAGCTACCAGCTACCCAGGAGGCTGAGGCAGGAGAATCGCTTGAACCCAGGAGGAGGTTGCAGTGAGCCAAGATCACACCACTGCACTCCAGCCTGGCATCAAGAGTGAGACTTTGTCTCAAAATAAATAAATAAAATTTAAAATTATAAAAGAAATAGCCAGGCAATGGTGGCTCATATGTGTAATCTCAGCACTTTGGGAGACTGAGGCAGGCGGATCATGAGGTCAGGAGATCGAGACCATCCTGGCTAACAGGTGAAACTCTGCTTCCACTAAAAATACAAAAATTAGCGGTGAGCAAGACTCCGTCTCAAAAAAAAAAAAATTTAAAAGAACAAAAAGATACAACACCTGTGTCCTACATTAAATGCATAATACAAGTAAAGTAAATGGCATTTAGCTCTTTTCCCAAATTGTGTAAGCACTGCAAGTGTTTGTTTTGTTACGAGATGGAGTCTCGTCCTGTCACCCAGGCTGGAGCAGTGGCAAGATCTTACTTCACTGCAACTCTACCTTCTGGGTCAGGCAGCCAAGGCCTTCTGTGAGTCTCCAGAGGAGCTGTGGATTACAGGTGCATACCAATACGCCCGGCTAGTTTTGTATTTTGGTAGATACGGATTTCACCACATTGGCCAGTCTGCCTTGAACTCCTGACCAGGTGATCCACTACTTCGGCCTCCCAAAGTGTTGGCTAATATAGGCAGAGCGCACGGTGCCCGCCAAGGCTAGCATTTTATTCTTTCCACTCACCCGTTTCTGGTCATAATAAAATGCCATCTCCGCACAACAGTAAAACAAAACAAAACAAAATGCTATCTGGAAAACAGACTTCCTTTCACACGCCAGCATGCTGGTCAGCTCAGTGGCGGTAACAAAATTCTACTGTCTGCAGATCCTTATTCCTCATCAACACATGCAAAAATTCTGAACAAATAAGTGAATCCAGCCATAAAAAGTTGAATAGTAGCTGGCAAGGCATGGCTTCATGCTCATGTCATCCTACACCTTGGGGAGTGGCCAAGGGAGGACTGCCAGAGCCTGGGAATCCTGAGACTAGCTTGTGCAACATGTTGAGATTCGCAGATCCCACACTGCCAAAAATGCTGTACCAGGAAGAAACTAACCAGGCACAGTGGCGAGGCTCATATAGTCCCAGCTACTCAGGAAGCTGAGGCGAGACGAAGCCGAGCCCAGAAGGCTGAAGACTGCAGTGGAGCTGAGATCGCACCACTTCACCCAGCCAGGGTGACAGAGCAAGACCTCATCTCAAAAGAAAAAAAAAAGAGCAACACAGCAACACCAAGTAGGGTTTAGACTAGAATTGCAAAGTTGGTTCATTTGAAAACCAATCTAATGTAATCTACACTCATTGACAGACTGAGAAGAACCAAATGATTCCAAGCCAGCTAAGCATTTCAGAATTTAAAGCATCCATTCATGATAAGCACACTCAGCAAAACTAGAATAGAAGGAATCCTCAGCCTGATCAACAGCATGTACGAAACATGCAACTCACATCACATGTAGGGCTGAAAGTCTGAAAGAAGTAAAATTCCGCCATGTGCGGTCCCAGCACTTTGGGAGGCTGCTGTGGGTGTGGGGTTGATCACTTGAGGCCAGGAGTTGACACCAGCCTTGGGGCAACATAAGAACCCCATCTCTGACAAAAATACAAAAATTAGCCAGGCGTGGTGGTGCGTGCCTGTAATCCCAGCTACTCAGGAGGCTGAGGCAGGAGAATCGCTGAACCTAAAAGCCGAGATCATGCCATTGCACTCCAGCCTAGGCAACAAGAGGGAAACTCCATCTCAAAAAAAAAAAAAAAAAAGAAAATATCTATGCTGGTTGCTTACCCACCTCCTCTCTGTCACATTTCTACCTTTTAGGATTTCCCAGACCCTTCATGCCCTTAAGCTGCTCTAAATTCCCACAGGTCAGCCTCCCACCCGGGTGACAGCATCCTGTTCTCCAGGAACCACCACCTCTGCCCTACCCTCTTCCAATGACACTCAGAGAACGCGAAGAACAGGATTCCATCCTAAGGAGACAGAAGCCCTGCCTGGGCGACTTCCAGGCATCTATGCTTGAGCATTAATTCTGCTTGAAAACGTGCAGTTCAACTGAATAAACAAGTGCATTGTCTGCCCGATCTAAAGCACTGTTCCCAGGCTGGGCGTGGTGGCTCCACGCATCATCCAGCACTTTGGGGAGGCTGAGGCAGGCGGATCACCTGAGGTCAGGAGTTCCGAGACCAGCCTGGCCAACATAGTGAAACCCTGCCTCTACCAAAATACAAAAAAATAAACAGGTGTGGCACGCCTGTAATCCCAGCTACTCGGGAGGCTGGTGGGGAATTGCTTGACCGAGGAGGCAGAGGGTGGCAGTCAGCCGAGATTGCGCCGACAGCACTCCAGCCTGGGTGACAGAGCAAAACCTGGGTCTCAAAAAAAAAAAAAAAAAAAAAAAAGATATCTAACATGTGACAGCAGTCACCAGCTAGTATTTCGAGGATGCAATTGATACTAATAAAAGATTTTACTCAGCTTTCTTTTCTTCAGGCCGGCCAAACAGGGGAAGGGCTGTCCAGGAGCAAATTTAGATCCAGCTCATGCTGCTCGCCAATTCTCAACATAGAATGACTTACTGCCATCAAGCTGATCAGTTCTTAACAATAATGCAAATACAGGGATAATTATGGGTTTGTTTGGTGTTGTTTTGTTTTGTTTTGTTTTGAGACAGGACTCACTCTGTCATCCCCAGGCTGGAGTGCAGTGGCGATCTCAGCTCACTGCAACCTCTGCCTCCGCAGTGGCCCAAGGCTGCATCCTCCCACCTCAGCCTCCCAGTAGCTGGGATCACAGACATGCACCCGCCATGGCTCCAGCTCATTTTGTACTTGTAGACACAGTGTCTCTCACCTTGTTGCCCAGGCTGGTCTCAACCCTCTCAATCCCAAGTGATCCACCCGCCTTGGCCTCCCAAAGGTTGGGATTACAGGCATGGGCCACTGCACCCCATCCTTGGAGATAATTATGAGTTAATGCCGCTAAAATTTCTTTCAACAACATAGTCACAATGATTTCCTTTTTTTTTTTTTTTTTTTTGAGACAGATTCTCGCTCTGTCGCCCAGGCTGGAGTGCAGTGGCACGATCTCAGCTCACTGCAAGCCCAGCCTCCATGCCATTCTCCTGCCTCGGCCTCCCGAGGGCTGGGATTACAGGCCTCCGCACCTCACCCGGCTAGTTTTCTTGTATTCTTTAGTAGACAGGTTTCACTCGTGCTAGCCAGGATGGTCTCGACCGACCTGTGATCCGCCCGCCTCGGCCTCCCAAAGTGCTGGGATTACAGGCTTGCTTCACACGCCTGCCGCCACAATGATTTTCTACTGCAATGTGATAACAGAATATTCCAAAACCTACTAAGAATGCAGGCTGGGTACAGTGGCTCATGCCTGTAATCCCAGCACTTTGGGAAGCCAAACAGCGTTAAGGCTGGGCAGTGAGCGGCGGATCATTGACGCACTGCACTTCTAATCATGGCAATAGAGGATCCGTCTCTGAAAACATTTTTTTAAAGCAGTTGCAAGCCAGGTAACAATGGCTTACAGCTGTAGTCTCAACACTTTGGGAGGCCGAGGCAGGAGGATTGATTGAGGACAGGAGTTTGAATCAGCCTGGGCAACATAGTGAGACCATGCCTCTACAAAAGTTTAAAATTAGGGTAGGCATGGCTAGGAAGTGATGGTTTGGCACCTGTAATCCCAGCACTTTGGGAGGCTGGAGGCAGGCAGACATGAGGTCAGGAGTCAGAGACTAATTCTGGCCAACAACATGGTAAAACCCTGTCTCTAAGAAAATTACAAAAATTAGCCAAGCATGGTGGGCACGCACTCCATAACCCTCTAACTACTCAAGTTGCTGAGGCAGGAGAATCGCCTCAACCTGGGAGGCAGAGATTGCAGTGAGCCGAGATTGCACTTACTGCACTCCAGCCTGGGGCGACAGAGTAAGACTTACTCCCAAAAAAAAAAAAAAAATTAGCTATGGGCACAGGGAAAATACATCTGTATTCCCAGCTATAGAAGTAGGCTGAAGGAGGACTACCGATGCTTTCCCAGGAGTCTGAGGCTGTAGTGACAGAGCTAATTTTGTCCTGCAAATTTTTTTTTAAAGGAGTTGTCTACAGGGACTTCTGTTTTCTGAAGAGTTCAGTGTATTTTCACGAGTGGACACCATGGATAGAAACAGATGAATTTTATTTCAACAGGTGAATGCTTTTCCTAATGTACTCCTGGACAATCTTGGGCAACCTCTGAAGACAGGTCCAGGCAGCTGATGAATCTAACTTCAAGATCTGAAACCTGCCATGTGGCTGTTGAGGAATGCTTGTGACACGCCCAGCTTGAAAGCACTGCCTCTGTGAGAAAACAATCTCAGCAGTTTAGGAAAAGTTTTCTTAGGAAAAACACTGGTATGGGTACGGTGGCTCATACCTGTAATCCCAGCACTTTGGGAGGCTGAGGTGGGTAGATCACAAGGTCAGGAGTTCGAGATCAGACTGGCCAACATGGTGAAACCCCATCGCTACTAAAAATACAAAAATTAGCCAGGCGTGGTGGCGTGTACTATAGTCCCAGCTACTTCTTGGGAGGCTGAGGGGAGAATCACTGAACCCAGAAGGCGGAGGTTCCAGTGAGCCGAGATCACACCACTGCACTCCAGCCTGGGTGACAGAGAGTCTGCCTCAAAAAGTATGTGGGAGGAGGGGAGGGGAGGAGGGAGGGGACGCATGTGAGGGAAGGGAAGGAAGGACGAGAAATGTAAGGTTCAGAAGCCTTTTCATGGCTCTGGAGCTGGGCTGGTTTTGAAAATAGGTACCTTACCTCCAAGGTTGTAGTCAGGCTCCTGGATCTCATGCACTGTATTAGTTCTCTCTTCCTCCTTCATTCCTCCTCCTCCTCTCTATCTCCCCGACAGTCCCTTCCAACTTTAAGCACCTCTAGGCCACAGAATGTGTCTTATTAAACTAGGCTAGTGACCAGCAGAATGCCTAGTATCACACAATAGACTCCTGATTTTTTCTTTTTCTTTCTTTTTTTTTTTTTTCAGAGACAGGAGCCTTGCTGTCACTCTGGCTGGAGTGCAGTAACGTGTGTTGGCCTACCTGTAACCCCCACCTCCTGGGTTCAAGCCATTCTCCTCTCATAGGTCTCCCAAAAGGCTGGGATTACAGGTGCACGCCACCACGCCTGGCTAATTTTTGTAATTTTAGTAGAGATGGGTTTCACCATGTTGGCCAGGCTGGTCTTGAACTCCTGACTTCAAGTGATCTGTCCACCTCGGCCTCCCAAAGTGCTGGGATTACAAGCCTGAGCCACCATGCCTGGGCCAAGACTTTTCGAGATTTGGCTGTACCTCCAGGCTACAGTCAGTTACTGATTCAGAAGTGGGCAAACGACCCTATTTGGCTCTGTTCCTCCTTTTCTACTTCTAGTAAGGGTATGCGTGATGTGAAGGCTGGAACCACAGCAGCTGACTTGCAATCATGAGGGAGGAAAAACACAAGGGTGAAAGTGACATGGTGGAGATACTATAGATAAATGGAAGAGAAATTGACAGCAATGAGTTGCTGGCTTCCACAGTATCTCTGTATTATACACGGCAGACAACACTAGACTGTCTGTTACTTGCAAACCAAACCACCAACACACACATCACACACAGCCATACACACACAATACATACAACAAAAACTAAATAACTACTAAATACATAGGAAATCAATGACTAATGAAAATATTTTGTATAGGTACAGTGGCTCATGCCTATAATCCCAGCACTTTGGGAGGCCGAGAGTGACTTGCTTGAGGCCAGGAGTCTGAGACCAGCTTGCCAACATGGTAAAACCTGGCCACTACTTGGGCAAAGATTTCGAGCATGGTGGTGCACACCTGCAGTCCCAGCTACCCAGTGGCTGAGGCACAGAATCAAGTTTAAACCTGGAAGGAGGTTGCAGGAGCCAAGATCGCGCCACTGCACTCCAGTCTGGGTGACAGGAGGGAACTCTGTCAAAAAAAAAAAAAAAAAGAAAAGAAAAAGAAAAAGAGGCCATGTAACTACCTTAGCAAAACAGCAAGTATCCTATACAAAAATAGATAATGCAATTTAACAGATGAATGACATGCCTTTTGTCTAAAAGAGTTCTGTAGATTTGGGATGGGTGATGGCTGCACAACAACGCGATCACTCATGCCACTGGACTGAGGAGAAATTAGAAATTAAGATGGCAAATCTTATGTACTTACTACAATCAAAAAGAAAATCTAGAGCGCCTCATTTACTACAGACAAATAGACTCCTGAAAACAAAATACCAGGGCTGGCCAGTGGTGGCTCACCTGTAATCCCAGCACTTTGGGAGGCTGAGGTGGGCAGATCACTTGAGGCCAGGTGGAGTTCGCAGACCAGCGCCTGGCCAGCATGACGAAACTCTGTCTCTACCAAAAAGCCACAAAAATTAGCCAGGCATGGTGGCCCGCACCTGTAATCTCAGCTACTCATGAGGCTGAGGAAGGAGAATCACTTGAACCCGGGGGCTGGAGTTTATAGAGCTGAGCTAACACTGTACTCCAGCCTGGGCTGAGATAGAGTGACTTCCAGGCCTCAGAAAGAAAGAAAATTAGCAGGGTTACAGGGAAATTACGTGATGATCAAAAGAGCCAGAGCACCAATGCATAATGACCTCCAATGCAAAGCGCTTCGAACAACAAACTTCAAATATATGAAGCCAAACTGATGAACCTAAAGCAGAAATAGACAAATCTGCAATTATACTGGGACATGCTTCATCGTATTTCCTTTTACACTATTCTTAACAGTTTTCCCACTACTGTTTGAAATGCGATCTTCCCAGGTCTGTAATTTCACCGTGCCATGTTTCTTGTTGGAAACCATCTCTCCACAGCACGGCTCAATTGGCGACAATAAACTTGCCACGCCTCGTGACGCATGTCCGCTTACAAACTTCCTGGCGTATTCATTTCTCAAGGGGATACTGGGAACTGGGGATTCTCTTTGAAACCACGTGTTCCAAAAGCGCCCTGGGAAAGAAAGCAGACGGCCGTCAGAAATGAGCAAAGCAGTTTTCTCTCTTTGACCCGAATCTCCTCAAAATTCAGGATAAATGCAATGAAACTGGAAAGGGCAAAGAACTTGACTCTGGAGCTGTACAGACTTGGGTTCAATTTCAGCTCATTGCTTGATGATTAGAGTCTTTCTTAACTGGCTGGGATGATTTAAGCCCTGTAACTTCCTCATCCGTAAACAGAAATAACACTCTGCCTCTCAGCTGTGATATGATGAAGGAGTTTGAGACCAGCCTGGCCAACATGGTGAAATCACGTCTCTACTAAAAAGTGAAGATAAGTGTATATAAAGTGCCTGGCTTGATCATGACGAGTTTCACTGTTATTTTAAATTTTGGGGTTTATTTGCTTTTATATATTTTTATTTTTTGAAAAACGGTCTGCATCACCCAGGCTGGAGTACAACAGCACAGTCTTGGCTCACTGCAGCCTCAACCCCAAGACTCAGGTGATCCTCCTACCCTCAGCCTCCCGAAAGACAGGACTATGTGCTTCAGCCACCACTCCTGGCTAATTTCTGTATTTTGAGCAGAGATGGGGTTTCACCAGATTGGGCTTACAGGCTGGTCCCAAACTCCTGGGTCTCAATCTCAAGTGTTGTCTCCCAAAGTGCTGGGATTACACGGTGAGCCACTGTGCCCAGCCTAAATTTTTACTTTGGGATAAGGTTGGCTGTGGCTGCCACGTCACGCCTGTAATCCCAGCGCTTTGAGAGGCAGAGGTGGGAGGATCACTTGAGCCCAGGAGTTCAAGACCAGCCTGTGTAATGAAGTAAGATCTCGGTTTGGCAAAAATATATATATATTTTTAATTAGCCAGGCACAGTGGCCGGTGGCACCCTGCAGTCTCAGCTACAGGCGCAGAAGCAAGGGAGGATCGCTTGAGCTAGGAGGTAGAGAGCCATGATTTCACCACTTCAGTCCAGCCTGGGCAATAGAGCAAAGACTTTGGTCTCAAAATCAAACGAACAGGCTGGGTGCAGTGGCTTACGCCTGTAATCCTAGCACCTGGGAAGCCGAGAGGCAGGCGGATCACTTTGATCGAGGCAGGCTGGATCAAAACCAGCCTGGCCAACATGGTAAAACCCTACTTCTACTAAAACAAAAAAAATTAGCCATTTTGGTGGTGGAGCCCAATTCAGCTACTCCAGAGGCTGAGGCAGGAGAACTGCTTGAACCTGGGAAGTGGAGGCTGCAGTGACACAGATTGTGGTAATCACTGCACTCCAGCCTAGTGATAGAGAGACTCGTCTCCAAAAAAAAAAAAAAACCTGCAAAAAGACATAATGCATGTGTTGAGAGAGAATCAGTGGAGCGCTCCGCCACTGGGTATAAACTGCCTCGCCCGGCGACCTGAGGCTCCCTCTCCCACCGTCCGGTGCACTCTGCCATGGTCAGCCACCTCATCCTCCCTCCCGGCGCATGTTGTCTTCCTTCCCACGGCCTGAGATATTTCCAGATTTATAACTAGGATGAAAGAAACCGAAGAAAAAGCAACTGAAGTTACTCTCATACAATAAACATTTACCTTTTAAGATATTCCTTTAAACACTCCTCTTGAGCTCTTTTTGAAGAAATCTACCCCTTGTACTCTACAATAATCTTCTCTGCATTTACTGAGGTCAGGTGTGGCTCACCTGGAATCCCACTTGGGAGGCTGAGGCTGGATGATCACCTGAGGTCAGAGAGTCTGACCAACCTGGACTACCAAGGAGAAACCCAATCTATCCTAAAAATACAAAAATTAACCAGGCGTGCAGGCGACGCCCTGGTAATCCCAGCTACTCAGAGGAGGCTGGCGCATGAGAATCACTTGAACCCAGTGAGGTGGATGGCTGCGTGTGAGCTGGAGATTGCACCCTGCACTCCAGCCTGGGCAAAAAGATGAAACTCCATCTCGAAAACAAAAAACAAAAAAACCAAAAAATTAGCCAGGCTTGGTAGGGCACCAGTAATCCAGCTACTCGGGAGGCTGAGGCAGGAGAATCGCTTAAACTCAGAAGGCAGAGGTTGCAATGAGCCAAGATCACGCTTACTGCACTTGAGCCTGGGCAACAGAGTGAGACTATTAAAGTAAATAGATGACAGTGGCAGGCATGAGGTCCTAAGGGAGCAGAATGAGTCACTTTATTAAACCTTCTGACTATTTAATAAGGTGACAAAGTGGGTAAGAGAGCTAAGTTTTAAAATCTTTTAATAATTCCTATCGTATTAAGGATTAGTTAGTATTTGGCCAGTTTTTGGAGATGGATCTCACTCGTGTCACTCAGGCTGGAGTGGCGGGCAAAAGTATCATGGCAGGAGAATTGCTTGAACCCAGAAGGTGGAGGCTGCAGTGAGCCGAGATGGCACCACTGCACTCCAGCCTGGGTGACAGAGCGAGACTGCGCCCCAAAAAAAAAAAAAAAAAAAATTCACTCTGCTTAGATATGAAATGTTCTGGTGCAACTTTGCACTTTACTTTAAATATCCAAGTGAACATTATTTGGGCCCACAGACACTTCTCTTTGCCCACACCCTGCGCTGCCATGGTCATACTCACCATCCATTCTCAGCCTTTATTGCCTTGCACCCAGTCTCCTCGTACTCAACACGCACCTCCTTGACTAAGAATGCAGCCTCTGAAACAATAATAGATCTTTATAACTATCAAAACCTCACGACCAAACGCTTTGTCAAATGGAAGGATATCAACTTAAAACTAGAACCTACAGAGGTCAATGCCATGTAAGTGACATATAATCCATTATTTTTCTGTTTTGCTGTCAAGAAAATGGTAAAACTGCTGCACAAGGGGAAATGAG